GCCGGCCGCGGGATGCTGGTCAGTACGTTTGACACTGCAGCCAAATGTAATTCCAAATCGGTCAACAAAGGGTCATTTCAATTTCCCCAAACCAAGGTATCATGTATTTAGTACTATTATGATCTGCCAAAGCAACCCCGTTACATACTTAGCATGTGCTCCCCATCTTGGCTTGAACAACTGAAATTATGACCATCAACCTCAAAATGCAGACTGCTCAGTTAAGTGGCAAGCTTCCAGGAATTGGAGGCGGTGGAGGAGACTTTCCTCTTTGTCTTTTCATTCCCATCCTTTGTGATCAAGTGGAATTTTTGTTTTGAGAAACTGTGATGGCACTTTGATATAGATTTGTTGTTTAATCACGGAAGAGCTATTCTTGTTTGTTAGTTTTCTAGCAGGGACTTTCTATAGTCATAAATTGTTTATTAGTGTGATATATGAAATACATAGATTGGGTTAGAAAGATTGGTAGCTGATACCAAAAGCTTCAAACAACAAATTGGAGAATATGCAAGTTTGATACAGCATAATTACTTGCCCCTCAATTCTCATCTCATGAAGAAAACCATCTCAGATTTCTCAACTCGCTTTAGATGTAGTCTCTTTTCTGCTAATCTTGTTGTGCCAATTCACTTTTTTGTCACCCACCCACCGTCCCTAGACAAGCACAAAATTAATTACCACCAAGGTCTCCTAAATCACACTTGTTTCTTTTATTTTGCTTGTACTTTATTGAAGTTTTTTTCAAATATCCTTTTTTTCTGTTTAGGATGGATAAAATTTGATTTTGTTCATGAGTATCACACCATTTGGCAGATTAAGGCGTGTGACACGCAGGCATATTCAGATACATGTGAAATGCCTGTACATCATGTGAAATTACCAGCGGCTGGCCAATTTTGCGGGCCAGTGTAGAACTTATAACCCAACAAGGGTTATACAGAGCTGGAAGAGGATAATCTACTAATAAAATGACTAGTAGAAGTTGTCTAAGGACTGCTCTTCTAAAACAACACAATCAGGAAAGGACACTGTTGTATTGAGTATTGATAAGGCACCAGAGAAATATATCTTTCACACAAATTTTATCTCAAAAGCACAATTTTTATTGCTATCAACACTGCTATAGTGTTATTCCCAGATGTTTAACTAAAGAAAATAAGCAATATATTTGTGATATCATTCCCAATAAGTCTTTTTGACTATAATACTAAAGTAAATTTCTCTTTATAGCTATAATAAAGGGCGTATTTAAGCAACCAGGTACTATTGAAATAAGTTTATGATGATAAACAAAATAATAACTGCGTAAATGATAAAGAAAAAAGGGGAACAACAGTCCCAAAATCATCTCAAAGTGTATATAACATTGTACCACAACTTTTACAATGGTCAACAGCCTCAAAACCAATCAAATCCGCCCAAAAATCCCTAAAAACCCCATAATGATGTAATGTAATAATCTTCTTACTAATAAATAATGTAATCTTCACAGCCAAAAGTGATCAGTGACACAATAACATGATGTACAGCACTTCTTATGATGAATACAGGTGATTTTTTCCTTGTAAACTAGCTGAAAACCAAATTTTGAGATTACAATTTTTTTCAGATGAGGTCCAATTTGGGATTACTAAAGTTGTCAGCCTAGAGAGATAAACGACAAACTCCCTAGGAAGACATAAGTACCTATACAATAATAAAACCAAAAAGAAAAAGAAAAACCCTTATTTCAAAGAATCATCTCGCATAGAAGATAATATGAAATAAGAAAAGCTACACCTCACACTCATGTATCAAGAGTGAAACTAGAAGACCCTAGACTCCTCCTGGAAATTAACCCACGAACACAGTCTAGACCCTGATCAAGATTCAATAAAATGAAACACAATAACTACACCAGCCACCTTTGAGAAAGGATCAAAACCAGGTACGTAGTAAATTGGCTGACTATGTTAACTCTGCCTAGGCGAACCAATACGGATAAAAGGAAAACATAGTCAGGGTTAAATTCCAACCCTGACTAGGCAATTAACAACCTACTAATTATCCTGGGCTAACTTCTACTAGATTTTGATGGTACTCATTGAACAAATACGAGTATAAATACTATCATCTTTTACAACCATAACAAAAAACCACTTCAGATTTAGAACCTTAAAACTCTATAACCAAAAATCCACAAAACCAGCAGATTACTTCTTGACTAGACCTCATCTATCTCCCAATAGTGATATCTACTCCATTAGTACTAGCGTGGTTTTTACGCTTTTCCGTTTTACTTTTTAAACATCTCATCTAAAGACTCAAAAGAAATTGACAATGATCTCTGAAGGATAATCATTGTACTACAGTTGACTCTGATATAACCAATACCCAAAAAATTGTATCAGTTTTCATGGAGTATTGGTCTTGTCAGAGCCAACTTCACTGAAATTTTAAAAAAATGGCTGAAAATTATCGGTTTTGCCGAGATTATCGGTTTTGACAGTGTATTGGTTATATCAGAGTTGACTGTACCCTTCTAGCATTTACTTAGATACGAATTGTCCAATATATTCCAATATCTCTGCATTTGATAAAGATCATCTTCATCAAATTAGAGTAGAATTAGACTTGCCCTGGGATAGGTGTATTCTAGTAATACCCATTCGTAGAAGACTATTGAATACTTTCACAAGAATTCAGTAAGTACATAATTCTTTTAGATACTAACACCCAAAAGCGTCAGATTTAAATTAGGCTCAAATTTATCTCAATACTAGGAATCCATTGTATTGAAACAAAGCCAACACCACCACTTTTACTAACAACAAGTAAGTTACTATATCAGTTTTGAATAAATAAGACTCTTTTATTAGACTCAAGCTGACAAAAGTGCATCTTGTAGCCCTCATGATACTGATCATTTATCACACCCATATGATCTATTTCTGATGAGTGATGAGTAAGTTATTGAGTTGTGAAGTTGAGGTTTTTAGTGTTACATGTTGACTTGTGACTGTAAATTTGGGATTCACACCAATTTCTTATTTGCCTTGTAACTTTTTTCATACACCTCTGTTACTCACCTGTGTCACCTGTACTAATTGACATACCAGCCCTTGTTAAATGTCACTGTACCAAGGGCGTCAAGCCAGTCTCTCGCAGCAGAGCAATCCAGGTGACCTGGACCACTTTTTTATGCTGTCTAAACAACAAGTTTAAAGTCAAAAAAACTTCATCAGTTTTTCATTTGGCCCATCAACTACGCACAGACAAGTTTTCATCATGTTTCATTTACTTGAAACTTGACCATTTCAAAATAAGGTGGCCAGGTCAAAATATATGCTCTGAGACGCCTCCAGAGCGCTCTGAGACGCCTTCAGAGCGCTCTGAGAAGCTTCAGAGCATCTATTTGACCTGGTCTCACCTTTTTTTCGGTGGATCAAAGTCCTCAATACCCCTTCATCAACACTTCTTATACACCTCAAGTCATCGATGGTGCTCTCGATCTTTCTCCTGCCTAAAAACCTCAAGTTATACCTCTCTCGATTACATCCCTCTCATAACTGCCATCATCAATTTGGCAATTTCATTACTCAACGTCGTAACAAGTCTTGAGTTACCAAGCCTCAAACGTCACATGTGTATATACAGCACTTCAACCCGATGCTAAGTAAAGAAGTCTTGATCACACCAGTTCTGTCGAACTTGTAAATTTTTGACCAAAGCGGTGATTGAGGCCCCCTCGAAATCTTAACACACCATCCCATCCATTTAATTTAAAATTCTAAACAATCCCGACTTGAATTCTAACCAATCTCAACTCAAATTCTAACCAATCTCGATACGAATTCTAAGTTATCGATATGGAAATCAATATGTTCATAGGTCTTGGAATTTCATTTATATTTGTTGAGAAGTATTCAATTCGCACAAGTCTAAATCCAATACGTAGACTATTTGACAAGCTTGTATCACTGTCAGTTTCATATATGACAACTCAGATGTTACTATTTGACATCATTGATTATTTAAAGAGACTAGCACTAGAACATCCAGGCATCAATTTTGGTTTGTTTGTTCAAGTTTAAGTGTGACAAGGCATAAAAACACACTGTGACAAGAACAAGCATTTGGTGAAAAACACATTGTGAGAAGTAAAATAACTCGTATGAGGACCCTCAGGTGTTCTCTGCGCAGTTTTAGAATGAAAGAAAATAAGAGAGAGAAGCCATAGAGAAAAAACAATAAGAGAAAAGAAACATATCACACTCGAGACCTCTGGAGTTGGCTAAGGAGTTGCAGATTAAATGTAAATCAAGTGTTGACACAGAATCGGCATAAGGGAGACGCAGAGAGCAATTCTAGAGCTACTGTAAATTGTAATAATAAAATCAGCGTCAATTTAACTTGGAAAAGTGGTGAATTTGTACCCACATCATCCGAATCATCGGCGGTATCTGAATCACGATCCTTGTCTTGATAATCTGAATCTTCTTCCAAAGTCGTAGTACTTCCTTCGGGGCTGTTTTGGTTTTCGAGGTGTTGGTGAGTACTTGCACCAGCGCTAACCTTTGGTCTCTTTCGAGTGGGAGCTCTAGTTTCTTGTTGATCATTAGTTTTCTTTTTTTTTCGTTTTGATTGAACCTGCGTAGAATTGATTTGTGGCTGTGTATCATCCCGCTCAGTTATGTTGATTTGACTATCATCATTAGTTTTTGCTTCAATTATGAAGAGATTATTCTCGATGTCGTTTATCCATACCCGAATCACTGCATCCGTTATCCTCCGATGGCCACGAGCCAGGTCTTCAGCTCGGAGTTGACTTCCAGCCTTTTGAACAATTTTAATCGGCCATCCTTTATTTTTGATGTATTTGACAGGATCTGCAACCTTTGGGAACGATTGGCCCTTCACATGAGAGTCTAGAAACATTTAATGAATACTTCGTAAGTACTTGCACATGTAGACAAAAGCAGAGATTGAATAGGGTGGGAGAGCTTACCCATCATTCCATTTAATAGGTGGCACAGGTGGCTTTTTCGCTTATCGCTTGGTTGCGGTTCCTTTTTTTCAATCTCCTGGGCGACTTCTAGTCCATGTACGTATGTTTTAAACTTGTCAGGTATCTTTGGAGTCTTCCGTGCCCAATCAGCAAATTTCGGGCTATTGGAAAACGTTTGCGACCATCCATCGACACCACCACAGCTAGCAGCAGTTAGGTAATAGGAAATTTGATGTTGCTGACAGACCACAGAGAACTAGATAACCCGTGTGTCAGTTAGTTCCTCTGAATTTACCACGTAAAATCAAAAAAGGTGACTTACATCGTGATGAGCCTTGCGAACAGCAAGGCTAGATCGCTTTTGTAGAGTCGCAACAGATGGTGAGCTTTCTGGCTTACCGTGACAAAGATGTAATTTCTCAACGTTGACCAGCTCATTGAAGAGAGGCTGATATTTTGATCGATCCTCGTCAGACAGTTGATGAACTTTAGGAGTCGGAACAACAGTGTCGCATTGTGTTACAATCACTCCATTTTCATTTCCGTCGGTGTCTTGATCTTCATCGTCGCCAAGGGGTACGTTAGAGTAGTCTGGCAGGTTAGCCAGTGCAAAAAAATACGGGTCTCTGAACACATCCTGCTGATCCGGGGTCAGAGCATGCCAATGCTCCGCCATTTGCTGATTTCGATTCACCCAAGCGTCTTTGTTGTCACGTTCAGGGACTTGGATCAAAAGAAGAAGTCAGTGTTATGGATGCCGGTATCACATAGTGAATCAATTACGTTTGTCACCAAGGCATTTCACACAGAAGCTAAGAAAACGGATCCATGGATTTGCCTTCACTGTCTTTGAGCCCATGCCGCTGAAGTAAAAGACACGATAGGTTAGTTGAAGTTGCGCAAACACCAAACTTGTGCATCTTTGAGATTGAGACTCACACCAAGTTCCAGATAACGATCTCGGGAACTCCAGCCATTAGCGCAATCATGAGGATCCGCTTCTCGAATTCCATCCGAACAATCTTGACAAGATCCTTAATTTCTTTCGGAGCCTTACTACGGCGGGAATTTTGTTGAACTAGTGATTCTTGAAGTTTGATGACAGTCCATAAATCAAGTTGCTGTTCATACGTGTCAAGTTCAAGACCGGGGAAACGCGACTGAAAGATAGTCGACTTCTTTGCTTTGCTTTGCGTAGGTCCTGCCTCAGAATCAACTCGTTCTTGAAGTCCATCTTCATCATCAAGTCCATCTTCATCATCTGTTCCATGAGTGTCTGACGCTTCGGAACCGGAACCAGCCTGATCCTGATCCGTTCGAGTCGTTTGCGAGGTTTTCTTTTTGGTGCGATTTGATTTCTTCTTAGCGGTGATCTTGGTAGATTTTTTCGAGCTGGTAGTCTTTTTAGAGCGAGTCAAAGGCATGGTAACAGTCGATTTAGATTGAAGTGAGGATGATTCACAACAAAGTGAGTGAACGGGGTGGAAGATTTGTAGTGAAGTGAGTGAAGGTGGTGCAGGAGGGCGCAGGGGATGTCTTGATGGCACGTGCGTCGTCGTTCCTGCTAATGGTTGTTGTTCCTGTTAATGCAGAATCCAGATTCAACTGGGTTAAGGGTATAGAGTATCCCTGTCAATTGGCAATTTGGGATACCCATGTGTGATATCCGTGACAGGTGTGTGTAACTACATGTAGTACAATTCATTCGAAGTGTAATCTTTTCACCGGCGGCAGCTACAATTCACAGGTGCGGCAAGACATCTTTTCAATGAAACTTTTTCCATTTATGAGGCATGTGAGAAGTGAAGCCTGCTTTGGAATACTGGATAGCTGAGCTTCAAAAGAAGTCAATCACAATAGTCTTTGACACAAGTGAAGATCAACTTATTGCCTTCTGAGCAAGCAAAATAGTAACCTTTGAGAGGTTTGTGGAAAGAAGTGTTTTCAATGAAACTTTTTCCATTTATGAGGCATGTGAGAAGTGAAGCCTGCTTTGGAATACTGGATAGCTGAGCTTCAAAAGAAGTCAATCACAATAGTCTTTGACACAAGTGAAGATCAACTTATTGCCTTCTGAGCAAGCAAAATAGTAACCTTTGAGAGGTTTGTGGAAAGAAGTGTTTTCAATGAAACTTTTTCCATTTATGAGGCATGTGAGAAGTGAAGCCTGCTTTGGAATACTGGATAGCTGAGCTTCAAAAGCAGTCAATCACAATAGTCTTTGACACAAGTGAAGATCAACTTATTGCCTTCTGAGCAGGCAAAATAGTAACCTTTGAGACTTTTGTGGAAAAAAGTGTTTTCAATGAAACTTTTTTCATTGCTGACGTATGTGAGAAGTGAAGCCTGCTTTGGAATACTGGAGAGTTGAGCTTCAAAACAAGTCAATCACAGTAGTCTATGATCCAAGTAAAGATCAACTTATTGCCTTCTGAGCAGGCAAAATAGTAACCTTTGAGAGGTTTGTGGAAAGAAGTGTTTTCAATGAAACTTTTTTCATTGCTGACGTATGTGAGAAGTGAAGCCTGCTTTGGAATACTGGAGAGTTGAGCTTCAAAACAAGTCAATCACAGTAGTCTATGATCCAAGTAAAGATCAACTTATTGCCTTCTGAGCAGGCAAAATAGTAACCTTTGAGACTTTTGTGGAAAAAAGTATTCTCAATGAAACTCTTTTGATTTACAAGACAACTCAAAGGTAGAGACTTTTTCATGACACCACATAGTTGGGCATAAAATGGTGGCTTTTTTTCTAGACCTTGTCCCACATACAGGTCCACTTATTGTGTTCTGAGCAGGCAAAATAGTAACCTTTGAGCGGTTCGTCGAAATAAGTGTTCTCAATGAAACTTTTTTAAATTGCAACAAACCTCAAAAGTAGATACTTTTTCATAACACTACCAAATTGTGCGTAAAAAAGGAGCTTTTGTTCTAGACCTTGGCCCACATACAGATCCACTTATGCCCTCATAAGCAAAATATGAGCCAGTTTTTGATGGCACATTGCATAATAAAATCTTTTTTGTTTCTCGAGCAACACCAAAATTAGACATTGATCCATGATGTTATAGCATATCCCTATGAATTAAGGTAGGATTTTTGATTTTGATTTTTTCTGGGTCACACCACCAAAATCCTCACCTACTTTGCATAGTATACCTCATCATCGCAATTATATCCTTCACTGGAAGTGAATATTTTTTGTATGATTTGCATGCATCATCTTATATTTTAGAGAAAGCATCATACAAATGCCACCCTTGCATGATCCTACTCACAACCAATCGATATACTTGACACAGGATTCAATACAAGCAGAGCGGTCATTCAGGTTAGTACTCTGTGCACAATATGATTGCACATCTCAACTTTCCAGTTGGGATCCCACAAAGTACTGATTTTCATCTAGTATCAACATTAAGTTTGAAACTCGCACTGACATTCCAAGTACTGGAACAGGTGGATCATCTATTTCTTATATATATACACGAACTTGGTCACCAAGATTCATCACACGCCTGAATCGGATATCAAGTACACTGATAAAAGCGCAATCAAGATCACAAGTCAGAAGAAGGATCCAATGGATTCAAGTGATCAAAACTTGAGCAAGGTCCTTTCTTTCAAGGATATACTTTGTTTCAATCCAGATCCTCGAGTTGAAGGGAAAGATGACAAATCATTGAGTGCAGCCCGCCACTTTCAGGATTGTTGAAAATCATAACAAATCATGGATTTCCTCCTGTCGGGTGTTCAGTTACTATTTCACCTGAACTATCTGATGCTTCCATCAGAAGAACAAGAAACATCTTGCTCATATGTGGATGAAATTCAATTTGAACTTTTCAAGTGGAGGCCAGAGACGATAGACCTGTGTATTTGGATCTGCCTCATTGCTACCAGTCTTTCTCAACTGACAAAGAATTTCAAATGATGACATCATGCACTTACCATGGACTTATGAAATGCTACATCTTTCCTTAGCTTGAAATCAAGGGGGTGGTTGTTCCTATCTCGATTGAATCCCTTGCCTATGAAAATAAAGGTAGTTGCTCCCATCTTGATCAAATTGTTTGCACCTTCATACATTTTCAAAGTATGACTCTCCCCGGTTCACTCATTCCTGAATCAAACAAACGCCAAAGAAGGGTGAATGAACCTCCCAGACCGGCACCTGGTAGTGTTGCCGAACGACTGGCTCAGCTTCAACAACGCGAAGCAGAGGCTTCACAAAGTAGGATCGCACGGCTGGATGATACACCCATTCAGATCACTCCTCCAGATCCACACCACTACAACAATGATGATGGTTCCGATAACGAGCAGCCACAAGTTCTGTATGACCACTTTCAGACAAATGCCGAGAACGAAGATATCGCCCCGCTTAACGATGGTCTCGTGATTCATCCACCAGGCCTACGATCAGCTTATTTCAAGGGTGTTTCATATCGGGAACGCACCCTGACAGAGGAGAAACACTGGAAGCAGGTTATTCCAGACCTATTCAATGCTTTTATGGTCTGTTCTTTCAAGACCCGTCAATGGGGGGACGAACATACGTGGAACAACGACTTCAATTCATTGTGTAAATGCCCTGATTGGAAGCGCAGCGTAGTTGAGGTTGATGTGGTCGATTTGACTAGTAAGTCCGGTCGATCAGATTAAACCGTTTTGTTTTTCTTGTCAAGCTCATCAACCACGCTATTTTTATGATATAGGTCGGAAGAAGATATCTCTAGAGACATGTAAGTGTCGATCCGAAATTGTCAGATTGGCAATGAAGGGATACATAGGAGGGTCACCCATACATCCTCGTATAGCCTTCTCCATTCGACTATTGGCCTTTCATCATATAATCTGGAAGTACTGCACTATTCGGCTTACACCCTTTGTAGAAGCTCTTAATGAGTTTCTAGATGCTGGGAACCCGCTTTTTTTGGTTTCTGGTACTGATCAAGTAGGTTCATTCCTTCTCAAATAATAAAATTCAATACTGACAGCTTGATGTATAGACTCGAGATTTACGTAAACCCTTTACGTCTGCTGTCGATGCCTACCGTGAGATGCTACGACTTGAGGATGAATTAGCTATGAAATCTCTCCGTTTGTCACCTTTGGAGAAGCTTGCAACTAACTGCCCACCGTGTTTTGGACCCAAAGTCCCCGGAAAAAGAGTTGACGAACCTGATATTGTGATATGCCTCGATGGAAATTTCCAACATCGTCGTCATGAATCTGCAAGTGCTAGATGGAGGGGTGAAAGTGGTGTCATTCCTTCTCTTTTCATTAAGCCCGAGCAGGTCAAGAAATGGGAAGATAGAATGGGTGTTTTACCTAATCGAGCAGGCTCAAAAGCCAAAAAAGATGAAGTTATTGTATGTAAACTTGTTTTGACCTCCTGCACCACCATTTGATACCAAGATCTAACATTTTTCCAATTTAGGACCCGTGTAGCAACCAGCATACAGCTGCGAATGATATACGCGGTCGTCAGACTTGGAAAGGTTTTTTCGAAACAGGCTTGATGGGGATGGCATGCCGCCATGACCACCTCATCAAGTTCATCAATATTGTTCAGACCGGGGAAAGGTCCGTTATTTTTTACTTATTGTCCATTGATAATTCGTTTCCTCAGGCTTAGATCCAACCTTGCACAACAGAGGATATTATCCCCTAGCAATGATGGACTGCATCTTGAAGGAAACCGGTCAAGATCAAGCTAATGTAGAAAAGCTCAAATTCGGCATACTTTACGACATAGGATGCAACCTCGAGAAGAGTGTCATCAAGGCATGTATCATTAACTATCTATAATCATCTCTCTAAATCCCACACTCTGTCAATGACCTCGGCAAGGCGTGTAGTGATAGGAATTGAAATTTGAAATAGATTGAAATACAAACTGATACACAACCCTTTTTTTGCACAGAGGAACTTTTTTGCACAAGCTCGTGCTAATAAACAACTCAAATTTGGAACCAGTGTGTTCCATTCTTATGTACACCGATGGGGGTGTCAACTAGAATATAACCCACGGTTAAATGAGGACTGGGGCCTTTCCGATGGGGAAGGACTGGAGCGAATCTGGTCTAAACTTGCGCCGTTGGTCGGGGCTTTGAGGTACTCAACAGCGTTTCATCGGCTTTGTGCTTTGGAACTGAGAACCTGCCATCTCAATGAGGCTGCCCGAAAAGTTTCAGGTGCAGTTCAATTCTTTTTCTGCGGTACTTTTCTGTTTTGGTTGTGAAATGTGAACATGGCATAACAATTTTTTGGAAATTGTAGTGCGATGGTTGCTTCAGCGGCTATCAAGCAGCCACAGCCTGTATAACAAGAGCTGTCAGCGGTTGAACACCATACAATCTGATCCATTGTATTCTGACGAGTACCTAATGGGACAATGGAACCGCCAGCGAGATTGCCAACTCCAGGTAATGGTAAAGGAGAATTCTCGCGTTTTGAAGGAGAAGGTTGACATCTTGGTGGCGCTAGAGGAGAAACATCAGGCTACTGAGTTGAGCTTATCAATCTGTTCAAATGAGCACTTGATAGTAGTTTATTATTGACTGATAGTAGTTTGTCAACTTTCGTTATTTAAATTTTACAGCAATGAGCTAAAGAAGTTGAAGGCAAAGCCCAGAAGAGACCGTTCTGTGGCAGATAAATCTAAGATACAACATCTACCGAAGACACTCGAGCTCCTTCAAAAGGATATTGATGATCTAGTAGGGGATCTGGGAGGTAATCACTATCGTGACATGCCAGATTCTTCAAGTATGTATCATTTCTTATATATTTCACATGGTTGTATTCATTTAATCACATGCAGCTGAAAGTACAAGTGATTGAAAACTTGAAGCCACCAAAGGTAAAAAGTTGATCAGGATTCGGGTGGCTAAGGCTAAATTGTACGAGGCCAAGGTAGAAGTTTTCGAAATGCAGAAGAGGAGTGATGAGAGACTTGGTGGGTATTTTAATTAAAATTGAAATCACATGATACTGACTATATTACATTTTAAAGGAACGCGAGCTCAACAAAAGACAAACAAAAGCTTACGCGACAAACAGGCAGCATTAAAAAAGAAATACGAAACCTATAAACGGAATGTTGACCAATTCAACAATGATTTTCAGACTCCTAACCCGATTACCTGCCCCGACTTTGAAGAAATTCGACGACTTTTGGTTTCTGACGCTTTCTGGGACATCGGTCAGCTGACCCATCCCGGCGAACCATGGGCAGTTGATCAAAGGACCCAAGGAGGTATTGAGGCTCTCCGAGACAAAACACACGCAAAAGATGAACTTCGAAGGCTTGCACGCGAAGCTAGACAGTCGGTGAGGTGGGCAGTAGCAATGGAAGAGAAATTATCAGTACTGGAAACCGCACTTAAAACACAAGGTGAGCGCTTACAGGTTATGAATTACATTACCTGACAACTGAACTGATTTCCTATACGTAAATCCAGACGACAATCCTGCTACTATAGCCAACAAATGGATTATCGAAGTGGTTGGAATAACCAAGGGAACCATCACAGAGCAATTGATCATGAGCAAAGAAAGTCTACAATCTCTCTATTCACGTTTGATTCAAAAGTACTCACGACTGTGGATATTCTGGAGTGGAGGCATGCAGGGCCTAATCAATCGGACCAAATCGTATAGCGCCCTGGAACCCATAGACGAGACATCAATTTTAGCTCGGTGGGAGGTGTTGGTGTCAAAGAGTAGAATTGCTTGGAAGACTTACTCTCAGGCTCAGATATTTGAAGCGGAACCTCTGGATGAAGGTGAAGAGCTTGAGCATAGGATGATTGAGTTGCAAGTGAATGATGATGATGATGATGTGGCGGGTGAGGAGGAGGTCGATAACGATGGAGAGCCTGACGAGGATGAGAACGATGAGCTGGATGCGGATTGATGTTGATGCGATTGAAGAGTGATTGGTTGTTTTCAATATTGGTGTTTTGATTTTGTGTCTTTGTAATCATTTGAAAAGTTTTCTTGATGATTTGTGCGTATGAGTGTTCGTGTGAGTTGCCCGTACCAGTGTCGCTTGCCAAATCGAGGAGAACGGTCGACTTCGAATCGCGGGAATTTGGTGAGAAGTTGTTGTGTTAAGTAGATTGGGCAGTCTGAGTATTGGTGACATATGACTGGAATCGTAAGTTAAGACCAGGTCAAATAGATGCTCTGAAGCTTCTCAGAGCGCTCTGAAGGCGTCTCAGAGCGCTCTGGAAAGACTCAGAGCATATATTTTGACCTGGCCACCTTATTTTGAAATGGTCAAGTTTCAAGTAAATGAAACATGATGAAAACTTGTCTGTGCGTAGTTGATGGGCCAAATGAAAAACTGATGAAGTTTTTTTGACTTTAAACTTGTTGTTTAGACAGCATAAAAAAGTGGTCCAGGTCACCTGGATTGCTCTGCTGCGACAGACCGGCTTGACGCCCTCGGTACAGTGACATTTACCAAGGGTTGGTATGTCAATTAGTACAGGTGACACAGGTGCTACCGATCCAGATTCGACCCAATCTAATTCAAATTCCAAGCGTGCAAGGGGATCTCGCAAAAAACCTGCTCCCAAGTCAAACAGCAAACCACCAACTTCCCCTGTCCGTTCTCGAACCGGGTGGCGCACAGTTTTTGACTGGATTTAACACAGCAAACACTGTATTTTTTTGTTTTCAGTGGTGAAATTCGAGGTTTAACCTCACTTAAGGTACCAAAAAATTTCTTATTTTTTCTCGATGTCCAACATATAATGGAATAGCTGTACCAACATAATCTGACATCATTTGACATATGTAATAAGCTGAAAACCTTCATTTTTGACGAAATTCACCCATTTTCACTACTTTTCACAGCTGCTACTCCTATTTTCTTGCTCATGTAATATGACATAATCCTCTGTAACCTTAAAAATCCCGGAAAATCCTCTTGGCAACCTTAAATTCCACTATTACCACCATTACATATGCAAACTACACGTATAACCCTTGTTTACCAACTTAGAAAAAGTACCTTTTCTCTAATAACTTCTGTTTCTCCTTATCAAACTTCAAGATTAAAATTGTTAAAGTATAATATAATGTTTTTCTTTCATATTATAACCTTACTAAACCCATAAGCCTGATATCACTACCCTAAAAACCATGTCCAAGCCTGTATACCTATATTTTTGAATTTTTCTTACATTTTTCTTTCTTTCTTTTTGTGATAAGATTGTGAATGAAATCTAATGATATTAATAACTAATGTGAAATAAAATGATGTAGTCTTGGCCCAATGATCAATACATAAGCCCATAAGAGCTTCAATTGATCTAAAAACCTCTATTTTGAATTTCCTTCCCTGCTAAACTTTTCTGGTAAACTGGTAAACTACTAATAATGAATTTTTTGATTGATCCCATGAATTGATCACCACCCTGGCCAGATGGGTGGCACAAAGCTTTGATTCATACATGTATGGGTTTTCATACAAACCCTCTGAAACCAAAATTGCCATGGGGTTAGAGCAACATTGGACCAGTTGCGCTGCAAGCAGCGGCTCCGCTTCAGAGGCCTTGCAGCGCAGCTCAAGTGAGCTGTGAGCTGCGCTGACAGACAAGGAGAAATCTGCTTTTCGAACCGCTGCGCTCCAGCTGTGCAGCTGGGACTGACAAACAACAAGCAGCGTCCAAAGCATGTCAGCAGTTACCCTGCAGGTGCCGGATACTCAGCCCCAAAGGAGATGAGATTCAAGCCCATTGCAGTCAGTTATCTCTCCAAATCAAAAAGAAAAATCATAACAACCAACTCTCAAGATGTCATTCTTCAAGAAAGCTGCCAAGAAACTTCAGGACACTCAATCTGAAGCAGTGGACAAGTTTAATTGACCCAAGATATTTCATCATCAAGTAACAATATTTGTTCTTCCAATGGACCACCATGTATTCCACCACGACCTCCTCATTAAAACAATCCTGATACGACTGGTGAAAAAAATAAGGACAACTTATTTCAGGAACCCAAACAATGGTAATTTGGAAGTTGAAGGTACAGGAGAGCTGATCAGATTTGCAACCTTGTGTGCTCCAGAAATAGGTTGATTATCTCGTCATATTTGGAAGACTTCTCAACTTTTTTTGATGATTTATTTGTTTGATAATGATGGTTTTGAGAAAGAGCATACTATAACAGATGGGATTATGACCAACTGAGAAATCATCACTTCAAATCATTCACTCTACCCATAATTCAGCCAGCCAATGGTTATATTTAAACATTCTGATTGTTGTACATTTGATTTGAACATAATGGTTTTATGTACAACAAAGATATGTTCAAGTCTATTGATTATAAAATTACAATGGCCGCCAACAAATTTATATCACATGTTCAACTCGTCTAGTAATACTATTCAACAGGTCTAATTGATTGTTATTTCAGATAATGTTTGATTGATTGTTTCAATCATCAACAAAGACTTTGGATCAAAGGAAACCAATTGGGTTGGAAACTTTACTGATCTGAGTAAACATCATCTTGGTTCAAAATATTGGAGTGAAGCTAAATGATTTGGTGGGAATATCCAGATTGGATTGATTCATATGTCTCAATTTCTCTCTTTCCTACTCATCTCTCTGAATCTGGTTTACTCTTATCCAATCACAGGGGGAAAAATAATAGCTCACATAGATGTGAGCAGAGGGTACCTTCCTGATAACTCCAAAAATGTTTCAATTTCCTTCAGATTCTTTCAATTCACCATTTTGGTGGTGCCAAAGTGCTCAGCCTGTAATATTTAGGTATTGCTTGAGTTTGCTAAAGCATGCTCATCTTCATCTTGGATGAGCCCCTCTTGAGTATGGATGAGTGCTCAGGACCCAGCTGACACATCACTGTATACTCAGAATCACCTTCAGAAGGGTCCAAAGGATGTCACTGAGTATTGGCTGAGGGGCCGCTCAGCTAGTCCTAAGTGGCATTCCTGGGATTGGAAGTATCCAAAGGATTTCACTGAGTATTGGCTGAGGGGCTGCTCAGCTAGTCCTCAGTGGCATTCCTGGGATCGGGATCAGAAGTATCAAAAGGATGTCACTCAGTATTGGCTGAGGGGATGCTCAGTTCAGTGCAGTTGCTCAGCTAGTCCTCAGTGGTATTCCTGGGATCAGGAGGATCCAAAGGATGTCACTGAGTATTGGCTGAGGGGCTGATCAGCTAGTCCTCAGTGGAATTCCTGGGATCAGAAGTATCCAAATGATGTCACTGAGTATTGGCTGAGCGGTTGCTAGTTCAGCACAGCTGCTCACCTAGTCCTCAGCGGCATTCCTGGGATTAGGAGTATCCAAAGGATGTCACTGAGTATTGGATGAGGGGCTGCTCAGTTCAGCACAGTTGCTTGCATAGTCCTCAGTGGCATTCCTGGGATCAGAATTATCCAAAGGGATGGTTCCAATTGTGTTTTTCACATTTGGTCAGGTCTCTCACCGCTCAATCACATTTGGTCACTTGACTGTGCAGGCTGAGCATTGGAGGGCCCAACATGACGTGAGCAGATGAGCTAGCCCTCCCTCAGGCTTCTTGGCTAAGGGATAAAGCGTGAGGAAGGCCTAACTCATCTGCTCAGGCCATGCTGACCATTTGATCAGATGATGAGCTGAAAGAAAACTGGAGGAAAATTGGAAGAAAATTGGAAACAAACTGGAAACAATCTTGGAGAAACCTCCAAACTTTCTCTGCTCACATCTATGTGAGCTTCGATTTTTCCCCCTGTGAATAGCATAAAACCAATTCCTAAGGTTTTTTGCAAGGACTGATGCCATTCAATATACTTAATACATTGTTTTCAGTTTTTTTTTGAGTCTTTGCTATTGTGAGCCTTTGCAGTGCGCTGCAAAGCTGAAGCAACGCTTCAAAGCGCTGCGCTGCGGAGCCAAGGTTTGCAGTGTTACTTATACCGTCTTTCCATAAAAGCTTGTCCCAAAAAAATTAAGAGGGACAGTGTTATTTGTAAAGGTAAAAGTCGATCGAGCAGATCTCGAGTAAGCCAGGTCATACCTGACCTGGCTAAACACCCCAACCCGAGACTAAGTCTCTGCCCCGTCCCATCTGGAAGTCTAGATCCGGTTTTCTATCTTCCCACCTTGACTATCCGGTAAACAGCTTTCGATATCGATACCATCCTATCCTTTCCTTTCCTTCGACCTCAGCAACCTTTTCTTTCGATTTCGATTCCTTTATCAGATCCTTTAATCAATGCCGTATGTAAAATACGATCCGGCAATCAAGGTGGCAGCAGTTCACATGCTGTTAGATGGAGCAACTGACGACGAAGTACGGGATACATTACACAAGCCAATGCACTCAAAATCATTGCGAAGATGGACCGAACTGTACCACGACACTCACGCAGTTATTCGAGATCCTCACCTCTACAATCACCGTGGACGACCTTGTGTCTATGGACCTGCTGACCGCAAGTTCATCAAGGAGCTGGTCCGTACCGACTCAACTCTGTTCTTGGACGAAATCCGTGATCAGGTTTACGACCAAGGGGGTGTGTGGGCTTCATTATCAACCCTTCAAGTTGAACTTCATCATCGATTGAAAATCACCCTTAAGAAAGCAAATGTTCGACATTCAAAACGCTCTGGATTTGCACGACAGAAATTCCTGGATGAACTTAGTCAATTTCCAGCCGAGTATCTTGTTTTCACAGGTAAGATCTCTGAAACTTAAAAATTCACTTAACCTCAATCTATACTGACTGATGATTGAATTTATATCACAGATGAAAGTGCAATTTGTGAAAGAGACCTTTTAAGATTCAATGCACGATCGCCTAAGGGTACACAGGCCTTTCGTACTGTCCGTAACATGTCAGCCAAACGATACTCTCTCCTTCCAGCCATTGGTGTCAAAGGGGTCCTGGCT